TCACCCCAAAGAGAGGGATTCTGAAATTGGTGGTGTTTCCAGGGGAGTATATTCTTTCTCTGTTTATTGTCCCCTAACCTTTTTTTTTTTTTTTTTTGAGACGGAGTCTCGCTGTGTCGCCCAGCCTGGAGTGCAGTGGCGTGATCTCGGCTCCCTGCAACCTCTGCCTCCTGGGTTCAAGCGATTCTCCTGCCTCAGCCTCCTGAGTAGCTGGGAGTACAGGCACTCACCACCGCACCTGGCTAACTTTTATATTTTTAGTAGAGAGAGGGTTTCGCCATGTTAACCACACTGGTCTCGAACTCCTGACCTCAAGTGATCTGCCTTCCTCGGCCTCCCACAGTGCTGGGATTACAGGTGTGAGCCACCATGCTCTGCCATATTGTCCTCTAACTTTCATGTGCATGAGAAGTAGCTGGAAAGCTTGTTTAAAATGCAGATTTCCTGGCCTGGGGTGGGGCCTGGGGACCTGCATTTTAACCAGTACAGCACCCCAATGATTGTGATGCTGGGGGTCCTTGAGAAACACAGCAACTCTGATGGTGCCCAGAAATCGGCGTTCCTTGCCCTCCCCTGCAGCTTGGGCTTTGCGTACCTGATTTAGGGTGTTTGTGCGTGTGTAGTGCGTGCATGTGTGCACGTATTTGTGCATATTTGCCAGACACTCTGTTGGTACTAAATCTGAAGCTAATGCGTGTCACATGACCACCACTTTAATCTTCCCCACCGCCCTCTGGGTGTATCATTATTGACCCCTTATTCCTGAAAAAGAAACTCAAGCTGAGACAGGTGAAGTGACCTGTCCCGAGCCCAGTGCATTTACTAATGGTAGAACTGGGACCCCAGTCCGGCCAGACTCCAGGGTCCAGGACCTGTTCGTAACAACTGGGACCCACAGGTGGAAAGGTTGCCCCAGGCGCCTCTTTTCTTTTTGCGCTGCCTGTACCAGTAGGGCCATCTTTGTAGCCAAAAGTCGGGGGCTTGGGACCATGCCCAGGGGGACCTGGTAATGCCATTTCTGCACTCTGACAAAAACTGAGTTTATGAATGACTTAGGTAATGTGCATTGAAACATTTTTGTAATTATTTCCCTCTCTCTCCTCCCCTCCCCCCTCTTCTTTTTCTCTGTCCCCTTAAAGACCCTCTTTCCCAGCTGCCCACGCCTCAGCACCCGAAGATTCGCCTGTACAACGCAGAGCAGGTCCTGAGTTGGGAGCCGGTGGCCCTGAGCAATAGCACAAGGCCTGTTGTCTACCGAGTGCAGTTTAAATAGTAAGCCAGTATTTCTGTTGGATCCTTGCTGGGAGCTGTGGGGGCGTCGTGGGGAACCCTAGGGCCAAATCCTGCCTCTGTGCAGGGTTTGTTATCAAACCCGTGGGAAGCACATCTTTCTTGGAGCTTGTAAAATCTCTGAGGACAGAGGTTTCACAACCTCCCACTCGTCTGAAGGCTTAAACGACACTGGCGGTCAGGACTCTGCTGTCTGACCACACAGGTTCTTGCTTTGGTGGAAAGTTTATTCTTTTTTTTTTTCTTTTGAGACAGAGTCTCGCGCTGTCGCCCAGGCTGAAGTGCAGTGGCGCGATCTCGGCTCGCTGCAAGCTCCACCTCCCGGGTTCACGCCATTCTCCTGCCTCAGCCTCCTGAGTAGCTGGGACTACAGGCGCCCGCCACCGCGCCCGGCTAATTTTTTGTATTTTTAGTAGAGATGGGGTTTCACTGTGGTCTCGATCTCCTGACCTTGTGATCCGCCCGCCTCGGCCTCCCAAAGTGCTGGGATTACAGGCGTGAGCCACCGCGCCCGGCCGAAAGTTTATTCTTTTGCTGGTTTCGGGAGAAGGGTTGTAAAAGTAGGCTTCCGCCATGGAAGAGCAGGAGGCAGCTTTTAGTCTTCATCTTCAGACTTAAAAATCAGATTGATTTAACCTTATAGACCAAATATGGCCTGATCAGAAATTTGTTTTGTTAATTACAATGAATTCTCAGTTTCTCAAGTGGTTTTCCATTTTGTGTATTATCCTGGCTCCTTCATCTGTCTCTTGCCTCTTCAAGCTTTTGCAGAATTGGCCATCACTTGATTTGCAATATAAATACATATAGAAAGAGGGCAAAGTCCACATCCTATGTTATTTTTTGTTTACATTGTTAAGTAGATGAATTGAAGAGTAAGGGGAAGTTTTTGGCTAAGCCATTTTGTACTATTCGGTAAACCAAATGTAAAGACATGATGATGTCCAGTGCCTGGGAGATGGGATTGGTTCATATGTGTTTACCTGATGCTGTTTGCAGTATCAATTAGCATAGCCCTTTCAGAGAGTAATTCTACCAGACATTTGAAGTCGTGGAAATGTCCATAGTAGTTTTCCAATGTGTGTGTGTGTGTGTGTGTGTCTGTCTGTCTGTCTGTCTGTTTTTTTGAAACAGAGTTTCCCTCTATCGCCCAGACTGGAGTGCAATGGCATGATCTCAGCTCACTGCAACTTCCACCTCCTGGGTTCCAGTGATTCTCATGCCTCCTGAGTAGCTGAGACTACAGGCATGAGCTACCACGGCTGGCTAATACGTATATTTTTAGTAGAGATGGGGTTTTGCCATGTTGGCCAGGCTTATCTCAAATTCCTGGCCTCAAGTGATCTGCCCGCCTGGGCCTCCCAAAGTGCTGGGATTGTAGGTGTGAGCCACCATGCCCAGCCTTCATAGTAGTTTTATCCTACACAGATAATTCAACCCCCATCAAAAAAAAGAGAGACAAAAACTATAATCATGAAGAGATACATGGAAGTGTATATTCATATCCATCAGTAGGAAAGTGACAAATTGTAGCCTGCTAACTTACGCTTGAACACTAAACCACAGACAGCCACTAGAAAGGATAATTAGATGTCATCTGTCAGAAATTGCAACTCCATAAACTTTGGCATGTATTTGTATTTTTTATTTCTTATGTTGGTTACTTAAAAAATTTTTTTTATTTACTTTATACTGAAAAGTTGCAAGTGATGTGTATTTATTGTCAAGAATAGAAAGGGGTCGATCATGGTGGCTTACACCTGTAAAAGAATAGAAAAGTAGGTCAGGCGCAGTGGCTCATGCCTATAATCCCAACACTTTGGGAGGCCGAGACGGGCAGATCATGAGGTCAGGAGATCGAGACCATCCTGACTAACACGGTGAAACCCCGTCTCTACTAAAAATACAAAAAATTAGCTGGGTGTGGTGGCGGGTGCCTGTAGTCCCAGCTACTTGGGAGGCTGAGGCAGGAGAATGGCGTAAACCCGGGAGGCGGAGCTTGCAGTGAACAGAGATCGCGCCACTGCACTCCAGGCTGGGCGACAGAGCGAGACTGTCTCAAAAAAAAAAAAAAAAAAAAAAAAAAAAAAAAAAGTAATGTGGAAAAATGACAGGCAATTGATTTGTTAGAGGAGTAGGTTTCCAGTTTTTTTTTGAGACAAAGTCTCTGTTGCCCAGGCTGTAGTGCAGCGGCACCGTCTTGGCTGACTACAACCTTCACCTCCCAGGTTCAAGCAATTCTCATACTTCAGCCTTCTGTGTGGCTGGGATTACAAGTGTGCGTGCGCCACCCCACCCAGTTCAGATAACTTCTTATTCTCTTTTTTTTTTTTTTTTTTTAGATGAGGTCTCATTCTGTCCCCCAGGCTGGAGTGCAGTGGCATGATCATGGCTCAATGCAGCCTCAACTTCCTGAGCTCAAGAGATCCTCCCACTTCAGCCTGCCGAGTAGCTGGGACTATGGGCGCACGCCACTGTACCCAGCTAATTTTTAATTTTTTGAAGAGATGGAGTTTCGTCATGTTGCCCAGGCTGGCCTCGAACTCCTGGGCTCAAGTGATCCACCCACCTCAACCTCCCAAAGTGCTGGGATTACAGGAATGAGCCATCACATTGGCCTTTCTTATTTGTTTTTAAATGTCTGTTATAACAGTATTTGCTTAATAGAAACAGGTGCTAAAGTGAGGTTTGAGCGTTATCTCTAAATCACATTTATCTGTTCTTCCAGTAGTTATAAATAACCAACATTAAGTCACCTGTAATTAATGGAGCAATCCACCAGAACAGGCTACACAATTTGCAAAACCCAGTGCAAAATGAAAATGTGAGACCCCTATTCAAAGAGCATTAAGAATTTCAAGATAGCGACTGCAGAGCATCAAATGAAGTGCCTTTCTGAGAACGGGGCTTGATGTGAGCGCACAGGTCACATGTCATGTCAGCATTCAGCAAACATAATACCCTAGGGCTAAACAAGAAACTTGTGAGAGTCACAGCCGATGTATTGACTTAGCCTTGACAGCTGATTGATGGGCTTAGCATTGCTTGGCCTTGAACAGGGAAGTATGTTTGCTGGTTTTCAGGGGAGATGCTTCTAAAAATAGAAGAAAACGTTATTGCATTAAAAAAAAAAACAAAACAAAAACCTTTGATAGCGTTTCATATGATAAACTAACCTGTTTCACTTTATCTTCTTTTCAAAAAGCATTTTGTAGATATTTTCTCAGGGATAAAGTTTGGTTTTATTTTATTTCTTATTTTTTTTAAATTAATTAATTAATTAATTAATTTAGAGACAGAGTCTCTGTCATCCAGGCTGGAGTGCAGTGGCGTGATCTCAGCTCACTGCAACTTTTGGCTCACTGCACCTCTGGCTCACTGCAACCTCCACCTCCCGGGTTCAAACGATTCTCCTGCCTCAGACTCCCGGGTAGCTGAGATTACAGGCACCCGCCACCACGCCCGGCTGATTTTTACATTTTTAGTAGAGACAGAGTTTCACCATGTTGGCCAGGCTGGTCTTGAACTCCTGACCTCAGGTGATCTGCCCGCCTAGCCTCCCAAAGTGCTGGGATTACAGGCATGAGCCACTGCGCCTGGGTAGAGGTTGGTCTAGTAAAAGAAACATAGGTTAGGATACATGTGAATGTTCCTGTTAGAAGAAGGTGAAATTGAGGATGATTTCTTTTTCTTTTTCAGTTTGTAGATTTGATAATGGAAGAGGACCTTTGCATTTGTTTTCAGATACTTTGTTTTAGATACAAACATGTGTTTGGGACTTTTTATTAGTTTTGAGGCTTGTGAGACTTAAACTTCCACCCTGTTTCTCTACAATAAAGCATTGCTATGATTAGAAATGAGGATGCCTTTGTGTTTTGACAGTCGGAGTAGCAAGACCGAAATTACATGGAGCACTTTGTGGGAGAATCTGAAGTCTAAATCATGGGTAGCAGACAGTGGCTGCAGGCTATTTGGCTCCCAGTGTTTAATTTTTTTGTCTTCAATTAGTTGACAGCGTTATGAAATCTGGATTTTTTCACTTAGGAAAAAAAAAAAATAACAGGAAAAAAAAAAAACAATCCTGGTTTTAGTTTTCCTTGAAAATGCAGACGGTCGGGCAGCAAGGCCCTTCCCAGGTCACGCCTCCTGGTCTACTGCCAGCCTCTCTCTCAGACCTGCCCAGCCCTGTCTTCTCAAACATTTGTTTTTCATTTTCTTCTGATTTTAGTAGCAATCCGTGTGCTTTATAGAAAATCTGGACAATCTAGAAAAGTAGAAAAAAATAAAATTAAAGTAACCTGTTGTTCTACACTCTAAGAATAATCACTATTCTCATTTTTACTTTTTATTTTATCTTATTTATTTATTTATTTATTTATTTAAGACAGAGTCTTACTCTATTGCCCAAGCTGGAGTGCAGTGGCGCAATCTCAGCTCACTGAAACCTCCGCCCCCTGGGTTTAAGTGATTCTCCTGCCTCAGCCTCCCGAGTAGCTGGGATTACAGGCGTCCATCACCATGCCTGGCTAATTTTTTTTGTATGTTTAGTAGAGATGTGGTTTCACTATGTTAGCCAGGCTGTTTTTGAACTCCTGACCTGAAGTGATCTGCCCACCTCGGCCTCCCAAAGTGCTGGGATTAGAGATGTGAGCCACTGCACCCAGCCACGATTCTCATTTTAGACTTTTTTTCTAAATTCATTCTCTTGTTTGAAAATGTGTGTGCGCGCGCGTGTGTGTAAACCAAACTGGGGTCACACTTTTGGGGTCTCTTTCCTTTTTTTATTTTAATTTGCCATAGTTCAATGTGAGCATTTTTTCATGTAATTATTACTGTGTGGACATTGTATGTTTCATTATGTGACATATCACATGTGCTGTATTTAACTTTTCCCCACTCATGGGTGTAGACAGTTGGCAGTTGGTGCCTGTCCTAAGTCACGTCCTTGTACATGAATCATATCTGGTTATTTTCTTACACTTCTAGAAGAGAGGTTGCTGGGCCAAAGCGGATGGACTTATTTAACATTTTTGTGAGTGACCTCACAAAGGCTGGACATAGCTCTTGAGTCCCAGAGACAGGCTGAGCCTCGGCAGTGGCAGGGGTGTGGAGGAGCAGGCCCCGCACCGCATTGGAGGAAGAGCCGTGCATGTTGCTCTTGGAGGAGGAGGAGCGGGGCGGTTAGAGGGTCTTTAAGTATCTGTCTACCTTCAAAAAGAAATCACTCACCTCTTCCAGGGCACGCCCCTCACCCCCTGCCTGGGAGGTGAGGCTCATGGTTTGCGATCCCTCTCCCCATTAGGGTCTGTCACCCTGGAGCTGGGTAGTAGGTATCTATTGCGAGTGTCTTCATGGAAGCCCTGGCCATGCATCTTGAAGTGGCTTTCATCTTGTCCCTTGCCACTTAAACGGAAGATGCATTTCGGAGAGGGTTGGAGTACAGTTAGAAGCATGTGTGATACGTGAAAGCTGGTGGCCGTGGGGATACGGAGTGGTCTCCAGTCTCGTCTCCTGTCTCCCATGACCTTGCTTTCTGGGCCATAGTTGCTGTCCTAGAAGGGACACTATCCACAGCCCCTACTCAGGCTCCCAGCAGCCACCTCCTTGGCCTTTCTGAAGACTGTCACCTAAGGTAAAGAGGTCAGAGCTGGGGACTAGAGTCCCGTGTGGGGCTGTGGCATTGGAACTCTGGGAAAGGCACTGTCATTCACAAGGATGTGTGGCCATGTATTTGGCAAGATTTTCATATGGGTGAGACAAATCCTCTTTAAATGGGCAGCTATGGGGTGGAAAGAAACTCCACACCAGCAGGAAGCAGGACTGGAGTTTGTATTAATGCAGTTCCATGCCCAAAACATAGGCTACAGAGACTGAGTTTGAAGAATTAAAATCAGTTATGGGATGGAATGGGAGAAAATATTTGCAAATCATATATCTGACAAGGGAATTGTATCCAGAATAGATAACGAACTCTTACAATTCAACAATTAAAAGACAAATAACCCAATTAAAAACCACAGCTGGGCACAGTGGATCATACCTGTAATCCCAGAACTTTGGGAGGCCAAGGAGGGAGGATTACTTGAGTCTAGGAGCTCAAGACCAGCCTGGGCAACATGGAGAGACCCCAGCTCTACAAAAAAATTAAAAATAAAAGTAGCGACTGGGCACAGTGGCTCATGTTTATAATCTCAGCACTTTGGGAGGCCAAGGTGGGTGGATCACATGAGGCCAGGAGTTTGAGACCAGCCTGGCCAACATAGTAAAACCCTGTCTCTACTAAAACTATAAAAATTAGCCAGGCATGATGGTGCATGCCTGTAATTCCAGCACTTTGGGAGGCCAAGGCAGGTGGATCACTTGAGGTCAGGAGTTGGAGACCAGCCTGGCCGATATGGTGACACCCCATCTCTACTAAAAATACAAAAATTAGCTGGGTGTGGGGCTTGCACCTGTAGTTTCTGCTACTCGGGAGACTGAGGCACGAGAATCACTTGAACCCAGGAGGTGGAGGTTGCTGTGAGCTGAGATCGCACCACTGCACTCCAGCCTGGGTGACACAGCAAAACTCCATTTCAAAAAAAAAAAAAAGGGTGGGGGGGAACTGTGGAGTATATATAAATTGTATCTCAATAAACCTGTGTTTTGAACAAAAGCTCTGGGGAAACTGTTACACATAAAGCAGAGGGAATTCTGTGAATTGAAATCCTTTTTTCCTTCCCAGCACCGATAGTGAATGGTTCATGACCGACATCATGTCCATAGGGGTGAATTGTACACAGATCACAGCAACAGAGTGTGACTTCACTGCCGCCAGCCCCTCAGCAGGCTTCCCAATGGATTTCAATGTCACTCTACGTCTTCGAGCTGAGCTGGGAGCACTGCATTCTGCCTGGGTGACAATGCCTTGGTTTCAACACTATCGGAATGGTAAGAGAACTTGGGTATGGAACTTCCTTTATACTTTCCAGGTTTTTTTCACTCGCAGTATTGACTCCACACACCTCTGTTCTGCCTCTCATCCTAAATGACCAGCAGACAAAGGGATAGCATGGTCAAACTCACACTCTGATGTTGGAGTCTGATGCTAGGGGAGTATGATTTGCTAAACCAGGGGTTGGCCAGCTACAGCCTGCAGGCCAAATCTGGCCCACCACTTGTTTTTGTAAATAAAGTTTTATTGGCACACACAGTTACATCCATTTTTTATTGTGTCTATGGCTGCTTTCACACTACAATGGTAGAGTAGTTGCAATAGCAACTGTTGAGCCTGCAAAGTCTGAATTTACTGCGGCTCTTTGCTGAAAAAGTTTGCCAACCTCATGCTAGAAGGGATGCTAGCATATGTATCTGATCACCCTCACTTATTCTGGTGCAACTTCTTTTATGTTACAGAATAGGCACTTTGAATGGTGCCTGGCATGTAGTAGGTATTCAGTAAATATTTGTCGAATGACTGAGTGAACAAATGTGTCCGCAGATATTGGAAGGAGACTGAAGAACCCTCAGATTCCAGTTCCTACATTTGTTGCTCCAGTAATTCATTTGTCACGTGGTCAGCCATGCCAGATGCTTCTTCCGTGTCTGGCTTATGCACACACAGGGCATGAAACTTACTTGGATCGTGATTTAGACAAACTAATATATAAGACAATTGAGAAAATATGATCACCGTCTAGATATTTGATATATAATGAAGAATTATCGTTGACTTATTTTCAGTGTTGTAATGGTGTTTTGGTTATGATTTTTAAAGGGGAAGGTATTCTGGTTAAGATGTTAAAGTTTATGTTATGTGTATTTTAACCAAAATAAAAAATTGGGGGAATAAAAAGGGTTCCTGCCGGGTGCGGTGGCTCACGTCTGTAATCTTGGCACTTTGGGAGGCCGAGGCAGGCAGATCACTTGAGGTCAGGAGTTCGAGACCAGCCTGGCCAACATGGTGAAACCCTGTCTCTACTAAAAACACAAAAATTAGCTGGGCTTGGTGGTGCGTGCCTATAATCCCACCTACTTGAGAGGCCAAGGCAGGAGAATCACCTGAACCCGGGGGGCAGAGGTTGCAGTGAGCCAAGATCACATCACTGCACTCCAACCTGAGCAACAGAGCAAGACTCAGTCTCAAAAAAACAAAGTTAAAAATTTTAAAAAGTGTTCCTATATTTCAGAGGTACATATTAAAGTATTTGCAGATGAAATGATGTGATTGCTGAGATTTGTTCAAAGAAATCAAAATAGGCTGAGCGCAGTGGCTCACACCTGTAATCCCAGCACTTTGGGAGACCGAGGCAGGTGGATCACCTAAGGTTTGGAGTTTGAGACCAGCCTGGCCAACATAGTAAAATCTCATCTCTACTAAAAATACAAAAAATTAGCTGGGTGTGGTGGCAGGCACCTGAATCCCAGCTACTTGGGAGGCTGAAGCAGGAGAATCGCTTGAACCTGGGGGCAGAGGTTGCGGTGAGCTGAGATCACACCATTGCACTCCAGTCTGGGCAACAAGAGCGAAACTCCATCTCAAAAAGAAAAAAAAGAAAGAAAGAAATCAAAATAATCCGAAGAGCAGGAGGGGCAAGGATGAAGTTTCTAAGCATAGAAGAAATAAAAATTGGTCATAAGTTGACGGTTCATTCAGTTGGGTAATGAGTACATGAGTGTTTGTTATGATCTTCTCTCTACATTTTATTTATTTACTTTTTTTGAGACGGAGTCTTGCTCTGTCGCCCAGGCTGGAGTGCAGTGGCACGATCTC